ACTAATGGGACAAAATTTGTCAATAATATACTAGTCCGTTAGACAAGAATAAGCTCCTCCAACAACATGAGAATAAATTATTTGTAGCCGTCTGACCAGCACATACCTTATCTGATGATTTCAGCCGTGGGCAAACTACGGCCCCGCGGACCGGATCCGGCCCGTTTGAAATGAATAAAACTAAAAAAAAAAGACCGTACCCTTTTATGTAATGATGTTTACTTTGAATTTATATTAGTTCACACAAACACTCCATCCATGCTTTTGTTCCGGCCCTCCGGTCCAGTTTAAGAACCCATTGTGGCCCTGGAGTCAAAAAGTTTGCCTACCCCTGGTCTAGATCAATGATTCTCAGCCCAGAGGGACCTTGCCTCCCAGGAGACATTTGGGAAAGTCTAAAGACACAGGTTATTACCACTGGGATCTGGCTATTGTCATCTAGTGAGTGAAAGCCAGAGATACCGATGGTGCTAAACATCCCACAATGCACAGAACAACACCCCACAGCTAAGAATTATCTGGCCCCAAATGTCAGTAGTGCCCAGGTTGGGAAAGCATGCCCTAGAATGATAGAGTCTCACATCACCGAGGCAAAGCGTAGAAAAAGATGAGCTCACATTCCTAACTACTCTCCCCTGTGCCCCCAGGTCTAGAATTAAGAGGAAATAAGTTATGATGATATTTGCACAGTTCCTACATAAGGTAGCATTTGGAAGGAAACAGGATAGGGAAAAATTGGGGCATCTTAAGCAACTAAGATATCAGAAGAAAAGCACGTTTTAAATGTTTTCATTTCCATTACAGTCAATGTTGACATCTGCGGTCATTCTTCACTGTCCAGGCAGGTAGGCAATTGGAGCTAAAGTCACACTACAAAGCCTACACCAACTTCAGGGGTGAAATTTCCCAGTAGCTAAATGAGTTTTAGATATGAGACTTCTAGTGGCTTTAGAAAGCATCATAACTCTCATGGATGTTTTTAAGGGGGGGTCAGACAATTGAAACCTGACATCTCTCCAAAAAAGCTGACCAGGTTAGTCATTAACAAGGACATTTAAATAGTAATGGGCAAGTGGAACGATTCCAATTTCAAAGGGACAATTCTGAAGAATTATATTCATTGGATCTAGTGACAGACATACCAAAATGAGGAAAAACTACTCAAGGATGATTATTTTCCACTACCTCTACAACTATGTTTGCATTGCAACATAATCTTTACTAAAATGAATACTGAGTGTCTGCTTCCAAATAGAAAGACAAGTACAATATTGTTCAAGCTAAATATTTTAAGAATATATTTGGGTGCCAAGTGTTTTGAAAAGACCTTTCACTGGAGGCTATTAGAGTTAATTGGTAGAGACTTTGGCCAGACCATCTGTGGGAACTGCTGGTTTTCATAATGTGTGACTCTGGGACAGCACAACAAACACTGTTGTACATTCCTAAACATAGAGACTCCAAACACCATCCCCAGGGACAAATACTAACCACCAATCTGTGATAAAAATCTCTTCTTTTGCCTCTTCCATCGCATTTGCAATATCTTCAAAATATCCTTTGGCATTAACATACCTGAAAGACAAGTGTTTTTTGTTTTTGTTTTTTGTTTTGTTTTTTTCATTTGTGTGTGTGTGTGTGGGGGGGGGGGGTTGTTTTACAAAAAATAAGAAAGAGGAGAAGACACATATCTTAAGGCAAAGCCAAAGATGGAAGCTATTGCCAAGAGTCCCTACACAACCACTAGTTAATTTTCTGTAAATGAAAAACAAGGGCTGAGAATGCTACATAGGAAGTACAGTAAACCGATAGAGGTAAGCAACAATTGATTGGTATCATTATCATACAGGGTCAAATGAACTCTCCTATTCTCTTGAACTCATACACAGTTGTTCTTTGGAGACTGAAAACAGAATTGTTTTAAATCCATGGATAGAAAAACATGCTAAGAATGATTTTAATTCAAAGAAATAGCCAGGCCCGGCCAGTGAGGCTCAGTAGTTGAGTGTTGACTTATGAACAAGGAGGTCATGATTCAATTCCCAGTCAGGGGACATGCCTGGGTTGTGGGCTCGATCCCCAGTGTGGGGTGTGCAGGAGGCAGCAAACCAAAGATTCTCTCTCATCACTGATGTTTCTATCTTTCTCCCCCTTTCCCTTCCTCTCTGAAATCAATAAAATATATTTAAAAGAAATATCCAGCAAGTAAATTCTTTTTCTTAAATCATGGCTAACAACTTAAATAAATCTTCCATTTGCATCATTAAGAAAATTTATAAAGTTAGTTTTTAAAATCAAACTTCAAAATCTAAAACTGGCTATTTTAAAGCTCATTATAAAATGTCTTTAAAACAAAAATTGGAAAACTTATTGATGCTCAGGTAGTCCTATAAAGAAAAGCCTTTGTTAGGTATAATGCATTACATCTTTTCACAGCTTTGAAAACTGACTTTAGGGAAATTGATTCTATGACTACCCTGACAGTCTTAGACCAAAAAGATCTTACCATTTAGCTAAAATGTTCTCTTGGAGAGTAGCATATGACCCAAATCGGTGATCTTTGAGGAAGTTGCTGCCATATTTCTGGACGAATTCTTCTATAGCTCCTGCCCACAATCGAGCATGTCTATAGCTGTTGCATTTTAAAATAAGTGTCCTTCAAAGAAAAGGAAAATGTGGAAAAGGATGGTCACTCTGTGTTCTGTCTTTTTAAACAAATTTAAGACTGAACCATGCCCTGTTTTGTTTCGATACTACAGACATAAGTTGAAAATTTTAAGTAAACAGCATCTTACTTAAATTTTAAAAAAGCAGACTTGTAAACATTTTTGGCAAGATTGTAAAATATAGTCAGTGTAGCAAAAACACATTTTCAGGCTACTTATCCACTCATGCAACCATGTATAAGGTACTTCCTATAGTCCTGGAGGTGTGCTAGACTGTAAGGAGGATAATGAAAGAGGTATAAGGCGAGGATCTGTGCCTCTGTGTTACTTAGTTGCTGGCTCCTGTAGAGGTCATTTCCCTTTAGTGCCTGATGTCCATTTCCCCAGCTTCTGGAAACATCCTGATTGTACTTTAGGAGAGTAATTCCTCCCCTACTCTGAGTTCACCAAAGCCAAGCAAAAGGGCATATTCCAGACCCTGATCCCACAGACTGGTGCAGAGATCTGTTACCGGGACCAGTGGGAACTGTGGCCTGATGCCTATGGCCCTCCCCCAAACAGAAACTGGTCAGGAAGAAGGTTTCATGGCACCACCTTGGCATTTGCAATAACCAATCCTGAACCTTCCATTGTCAAAAGAGATAAGGAACTTGCAAATCTTTTACACACACTTACACACATGCAAATGTATGTTAGTAAGAGTGTATCTGTATCTCTACGCCAGTCAATCTGAGTAAAGACAGAAATGTATGTATATCTGTATACATGAGGCTGAACTTTATGGAAACAAGTGTATATAGAGAGAAAGACACACATATATTATATAACCACAATATTCCGGAAAAAACATACGTATCAATACACACATACTCACTAATAAAATCTATGATAAATGTACATTTGAGTATCCTTTCAAGGTATGTTTCTTAAAAATCTGTGTGTCAACAGAATTTTCCTAAATCAAATCATTGTGTTTTGTTAAAGGATGTCAATTCATAAAGTAAAATTTTATTTTTTAAAAAAATGTGAACTATCTATCATTCTATCATTCCTTAATTTATCCGTTCGGCAAAATGGTATTATTGAGTAGTCAATTTCATTAAATTAGGCATATGTCAACACAAGATAGCTTATTCTAACTGTTGACATAGGGTCTTCTTACATGTTGATTTAAGGAAAAGTAGTTTCATTACTTTTGAGATAGTTCTAAATGAAATTATCAAACATTTAAATTATTTTACTTCTTTATTTAAATTTGGGAGAAAGACTGTTTTTAAGATATTTTGGTAAAAATGTATTTTTTTTACCAACAAATATTTTATTCTTTTAAAAATAGTTGAAATTTCTACCTTGAAAGGTTATCAATTCGGAGTCCATATTTCGTGTCTGTCTCCTTCTTTCCCACCTTAATTCTGAATTCTTTATCCACCAGCAGGACGAACGCGATGGCTCCATTGTCTGGCTTCATGTACAGTAAAAAGGAATCTTTCACTATCAACCACCTGGGAGGAGATAATACGCATTTTTAAAGTTGTACTGAATTACTGAGACAAAAAGAACAAAGTATATGACAAGTCTGAAGTAAATACACTCGCAGGCAGTAGACAATTTCATGTTTACACTGGGGATTCAGTTTTTAAAAAACACAATGAGAGGGATTAAATATGGCAGAGTAAGTGGATGCTGCACGAACATGCTCCCAGGAACTAACTGGTATTACAGCTAAAATACAGGAAAACTTCTTGGATAATCAATGGAAAGCTCGCAGGAGAGAACACTGATACCTGAGGACTGAAAGTGGAGACCGCATACAGACTGATTTATTTTGTATATTGTTAAATAATAATAATTATAATTATAATTATAATTATAATTATAATTAAATTTAAAAAAGGAAAAAAATAAAAACCACAATGAAACAACAAAAAACACAATCCAAAACCTTTCTATTATGTTTTTCTAAGAAGTGCTGGCACCAAGCAATTCAAAATAATTCACTAGCTTTTTAAACACTAAGGTTGAAGAGGCCTGGACAACACCCCTGCCAAGGGGAGGGAGTGCTTGCAGGAGGTACAGGGGGAGCCCCAGCTGTTGGGAGAATGGAATGTGTTGGTGTTTGCTAAAAGAAACTATCATAGAAGAGGCAAATACGTTTCTCAGTAAGTATAATCCCCCTTTTAAGAAATCTAGTAAGCACCCAATACTCTGCATATTCTGTTGCTCATTTCAAATTATTTGCGATTTTGGGGGGCCATTATTAAATGATGTTCAATGGGACATGATCTCTCAAAAGCATATTTCCATTCAATCCAATATATGTTTAAGAGCTTCATAATAGGAAAGTACAATGACAAAGGAGGAGTTAGGGTAGAGGTAGAAACAGCACAAAGATAAATCATACATCTTTTCAAAGGATCTTACTAGGCCCGTGGGGCACAAGCAACCATAATTCTAGGCTGAATGGGACAGGTATCAGAAGAGAAAAGCAAACAGTGATAGGTGGGAGGAGGAGTCCTTAGGCCTGACTAAGAGCACAGGAGTGGCGTTCTCCCGAAGAGGCAAGAGGTGGAGTCTGTGCGAGGCCAGGAAGCACCTGTCACAGAGAGCCCGAAGTTGGTAGTCACGGTATCCATCCCACAGGGAGGGAGGGAAGAGCTAGCAGGGCCCTGAGCTCTGGAGATGCTGCATGTGTTGGGAGACAGTTTGGTGAGGCCAGGGTCTCAGAGAGAGTCAGAAGGGAACATGGGCAAAAGCCGCACTGAGGAGCGTCTGGAGGCCATGCTAAGAGGTTGATTTTATCTCAGGGAACCAGTGGTCTCTAAACGTGCCTGATCATCAGACTCTCTTCAGATTTTTGTTAAAAATAATAGAGTCCCAGGCCCCACCAGAGATCCATTAAAAAGGCCTAACAATTTGTATTTAAAACAAACATCCGGGTGTTTATTAAATAAGGGAATCCTCCTGTCCTGCCAAGGCCATAGGACAATAATATCATTGGCACTATGTTAAAAAAAAAAAAAGGTATGAAGGAGAAAGAGGGATGTGGTGTGGCAGTGAGGAAGCTACTGTAATAACACAGAACAGCTCTTCGTACACTTTCCTGTGGATATGCAGCACCTGGGGATCCTCTCAAAATGCAGATTTGGATTCAAGAGGTCTGGGGCGGGGCCTGAGATTCTGTATGTCTAACGAGCTCAGAGGGGTTGCCTATGTTAGGGACACTCTGCTTAGTAAGGATGCAGATGATACGCATGGCACTGAGAACGGAAAGAGCAAGACAGAGAGAACGGGATGGACATCAAATAAAAACAAATGACAACTTTGTCCTGCTGCATGCAGCACCATATAGTCACATTTACCTGCAATTGCGGAGTGACCAAATGATTCAACATATAACTGAATAAAGTAACACCAGTTATATTGTATCACATATTAGGCAAAATGAAGCACATGATGGGTTAAGTAAGGCTAGAACACCTGCACACAAATTAAGTAATATTATAAATGTCACGTGGAAACTCAGAATTTGAAAGAAATCTACAATAAATCTTTACTGAAATTGCTAACCACATTATGTT